ACTCTGTTTTTAAACTAGGAGGAGCGAATTGAAAAGACGCATTTACACAGGGAAAAGTAACTAGATTTGTTACTAAGAGCGAGTTTCGAAATATAGTCGTGTTCAAAATTTATGAAATAATTATCTTTATCGGCCTTAGTCGGTGAACGGCCAATGAGCGGTTAAGAAACGAATAAATGTCATAGAAGTAATTTTTTAATTGGTCCCAGACAACGGTCGCAAATTTCACATTATTGTGATCTGAAATGTGTGTCTAAAACGAAATGTCATTGTCAAATTAAAGTCAATTAGGCATTCCAAACAAATGAATTACCAGTGGGCAGGTTTGGTAGATCTAACGGTTGCGACATACAATGTATTCTATCTACAATACGTAAAATCATGAATAATGGATAACATTTAAATATTTTATATCGAACACTATAAAAATATTAATTAAAAAAACTGCTTGTACATTTTTTTAAAAACTGGCAGGATTGACGACTGATATTTCGAATAAAAATAGCGTCCAAGATGCAAGACTATGTCGCTACCCCCTTAGATATACGAGACCTTCCCACTGGCAAGTATTGTTTGACAGGTCGTTGGAATGCCTAATATGGTTGTTGATTGATGTCAGAAATACTTTTTTCTTGCTTTTGAAATCGACTTTTTGAGAATAACTATGATCTTTTTAAAATGGATATTAAATATTTAAGAAAATTGTTAATGGAATATCCAGATGTAGCCAGGTTAATATAAAATATAAAGATCTGTTTACATTTTTAAGGATATATTTGTTATAGGTATAAAAAGTAAAAGTTAATCAGTGAATGACAAGTGGATCACACAGTAACTGGTATCTCTTCTATGAGTAATGTGGATATTATGGCCTATTTAGTGTTAACCCATGGTTAATGCGCTAGAGGGCAAATAAAGGCATTCAAAAGTTTACAGGCCTATGAGTCAGAATTTGTTTTGAAAACTGGAACCAACATTTTCATAACACTACATGTCAACATATATTTTTTAAAGTGAACTATTCATACATACCTATGTATTAATTTTAAGTATTTTTAAAATATTTTTTGTGAAAGTAATGTTAACTCATTGTGCCAAATTAAGATTGTCCCTAAAGTAGTAGTAGATGGTGTTTTAAATGTTATAACAATTTTGTAAATACTTTTATTCTATTCTAATAAATAAAATTTTCTTGAATATTTAGTTACATTTTAATCATTTTGGTTAGAAATTCATCAATTTTTAGTTTTAAAAAATCAGTAATAAAATTATTTTTTTCTAAAATACTTCGGAATTTATCTCCATGTTAATCTCCCATCTTTTTACCTTCAAAAACCAATAATGCATTTTCTCCAAAACCTTCAGAATCGGCATGTAAAATAATAAGGTGCATGGGCGAAGTTAGGGGGGGGCTTGGGGGGGCTAAGCCCCCCCAAAAACCAAATTAGCCCCCCCAAAAATAATTCGAACATTTATCGCACATCTATCCACACATTTCAGATTTCAGAACAGAAATTAATAAAGAAAAATCGTGCCATTTGATTGATTCTGAAATTTTACATTTAGTTCAGGAGGCAGTGAATTTTACTCGTACTCATTTTTCCAATCGGTGTATATGAAAATAAACTGTTCTCTTAGTGACAAAAAACAAACATTTTGAGTCTGACACTTATTTTCCCAGTCATAAATATTTTACATTTACTAAACTATAACATAAAGCTTATAAAAATAGCAGTTTGGAATATCTCAGATAGTGGAAAGTGAGTGTGGCAGAAAATTTAGCATATAAATTGATACAATCATGAACTGTTAATAATAATAAGTCTAGCTGATTTACGAAATTGGCAAATGAGTCTGGTAATATCTTCAAAATCGAAAAAATATAATATTTTTGCTTTTATTTTATTTTCAAACGCTTCTATGAAAAATTTCCGGAAATTTTTCTTTTGGTGGGTACCCTGAACGAAATTATACTGAAAATTTTTTTATGCATATGTTTTATATGTTGTTCTATGGCCAGCTTTGAAAATTTGATTTTAGTCGTTTTAATGTATGTCTGTCAAGTTTTGAAATTTGGATATTTTGGTGTAAAATTTTCTTACCCAATACCTACCACTGGTGCCTAAATTATTATCGGTAAATTTTTGCTCACTCACGCATATTTTAAGAAAAATATCAATCGTCTTCGACTCAGGATAAATTTCAAAATATTCGTAAGATCGAAAAAAATTTCGGATATAATTTAGGCACTGAAAATATAGGTCTGGCTGACAATTAAAATTACGAAGGCCTGCCAGACTCACAAGTAGTGTAAGGCCGAAGGTTCGGTTACGGTTTTGGCCAACTTCGGCTTAAAATAAGAGTTTCTACTACAGTTTCGGTTTCGGCGGAAAACTGGCCGAAACTGCAGCCAACTACGAAACTACTTTCGAAAGTTTACGTATCACACTTGGTTGTGTCCGGCACAATGGCGACTGTGCCGGGTGCCATTCCTACACAGTGCACGTACTTCTCTGCTTTGTTTCAAGTGAACAGTCTTCAGTGCTCCTGGCCTAATTTATTCGTATAAAAGGAGCATTTTTTTAGGTGAAACGTTGAAAAAATATTATTTCTAGCCTACAACGTTAGACTGTTTACTTATGAATATTAATTTAATTATAAGTAACAAACATATTTAATTATCTGAATTTGTTTTTTTTTAAATAAAAATTACATTATATATAATTCCCTTCATAATACTATTTTGTGTTAGAAAAAATCTAGAGACAGATGCAGAAATGATTGCTACTTTGTAATTCACTTATTTTTTTTTTTTTAGTTTCAAAAGTAATAAAAAAAAACAATGTCAATAAATTTATTAATGGCTTCTTTTGATCACATAAATAAATAGGTAATAAGTAAATGTAGCTAAAATTTATAATACGAGTTAATTAGTCTTAAACAAGGATATTGCAAATTTAATAAGAGATTGCCTTAAAAGAAAGTTCTTATTTCTGTTTCGGTTTCGACTAAGAAAGGAGCCGAAATTGGGTTTCGGTTTCGGTTATAAAACCGTATTTCGGTCGGACCTGACAAGCCAGGTAGTTAAACGAGGAGAGGAATAGTAATCGAACGTGCAGATTTTAGCGCGCCTGACGATCATTAGACAAGTCTGGCAAGGCTTTCGGGGTATTCCACATTAGCCAGATTGTATTTTAAGCTGTTATCATAATATACATTTTTCTAGTACTGCACTTGTAACAGGGATCCTTACTGGGCATTGCCAACTAAAAGGACACCTTAGTAAACTGAGAGTAGTAGAAAATAGTGAGTGAAGATTCTGTGAGGAGAAGGACGAAACCTTCATTTACATTCTAACTGAATGTGTAGCACTCCAGAATCCAAGGGCACTATACCTAGGAGCATATCAAATAGAAACTTAAAGCCACTCCAAATCCGACACTTCCTTGAGAAGATATAATTTAAAGGGTCGTTATAGGCATTGAGACATTTCCTTGCTGCATTAGCGACAGAAGGGAGCACAATAGATATTTTAGGTCTCAGTGTATTAACACCCCATTCCCAACATAACATAGCGAGAAAACTGCAAAATAATGAAATCCACAAATCCCAGTTCATATTTTGGACATCCAACTACTATTATTTTTAAAATTTTAAATTCTGACAAACTGTCAGTATATTTTTTAGTCATTAAGATTACATATACGTTAAAATTAGTTATTTTTGTTTAGAATCGATAAAAAATAACATTTTAATTTTATTTGGGCTACATTTAAAAAAGTAAATTTTAATCAAATTGTATGAAACTAATTTATTTACGAGTATTAAAATTAAAAACCTAAAAGTGGCGGTGGAGCTGAGGACAGAGCATTTGCCTTCCATGCGAATAGCCTGGGTTCGAATCTGGACTATATAGGAGCAAATTTTTTTTTATGTTTTTTATTTAATAAATTAATAAAATTTATAAATTATTGTAAAATGGCTTATTTTGTCTAAACCTAAAATAATTTTTTAAATTTGTAGATTTTCGTTAGTAGTTCGTAGAAAAAATATACTGCACAACTCGAGTGGATTGTCCATGTCTACTCTTGTTGCGAAAATTAGGGAAATTTTTGTGATGAAAATTATTGTGATGAAAATTATTCAGTTTTTTCACTTATATATGATATTTTATTCATTTTCATAGATTCGCCAGAATTTTTTTACTTAACTTCAGTATACCTCTAGAACTATTATATTTTATATGACTAGGGTTAGGGCTTTAGCCCCCCCAGATCTGATGACATAACTTCGCCCATGATAAGGTGTCTTCCTTTTCTTGTAAGGCTTTTCAAGAATTGCTATCTTTAATAGTACTCAGTGTAGAAGGATCCATAATTGTAGATTTTGAATACAATTGCTTACTGAAGAACTATTATTTACGAAATAAGGTAAAAAACTAAGTAATGGATGAGATATCAAATTATAAAATGTCAGAACTGTCAACAATATCAATTATTAGCTTATGTTCATGCTAAAAAGTAATGTGTGAAACTGACTGTAATCTGACCAATCAGAAGGCTACAGAATTGCCAACTTAAATTTAAATCGCTCCTCTTAGTTTAAAAACAGAGTATAGTTAATATATATTTTTACTGTTTACACAGATATATATTATCATATTTGATTTGATTAGATTTGATAAACCCAGCTTTAGTTATTTCCTACTTATTTTTCAAATATTTCAAAATATCAAGTAGTCTGGGAGTTTAGTTGTCAAATTAACAAAATGAAACTAATGAAATTTAGTTTCATTATTTACCTAGGTTTTTTTTTATTATCATTATTTACCTAGGGAGAGAAATATTACTTCTCATTAGAGGAATGGAGTAAATAATGGTGATTTCTCATGTTAGTAGTAAAAAAATTTATTTAATTTAACTTTCTTGTGGAGAATTCATTGATTTTTTATAGTTGTATATGTCTGTTATTGTTTAATAACTTTGTTATTTTGTTTCCAGCTGGCCTTTCGTACCTGCAAAACACTCCGCGACCACAGACTTCTTCAAACGTTTCGCACTTTACACCTCGACCATCGCTCGTCCAAATATGTCTCTCTTCGCAAGGAAGTGATGCGATGTTTGGCCTCTTCGGCGGATTCTTATCCTCTTCAGGAAGCTGAGAATCAGGTGGTGGGCTTAGTTTGCGACACGTTGAAGGAATACAAGTGTTTGGAGGGGTGCCAGGAGTTAAGACGATACGTTGCCGAGGCTACTAAAATTGCTTGGGTCATGGTGTGTCAGGTTCCTCCGTATGAGTTGGATACAGGTAAGAAGTTACGAGGATATATCAGTATATAACGAGACTGGTGCTATAACTTCTTTCAGAGGTAACATTTTATAACCCAAAAAATGAGACATGAAAGCCTTATATTTAATGTACTACCCCGCAAGTAGGCTTTGATTTAACTTTTGACATTTGTTACAAATTAATTATTGAATTGTCAGTGTTTTGCGTACCCATCGAAAAATGAAAGTGGAGCAAAGATACGCGATAAAATTTTGTGTTCGATTGGGTAAAACACCAACTGAAACTTTTGAAATGATTAAAGGTGCATATCTAGATAATAGTTTATCACGATGTAGAGTGTTTGAGTGGCATAAAAAGTTTAAAGACGGTTGTGAATCAGTTGAAGATGAACCTCGTCCCGGTCGACCACAAACTGCGAGAAATGACACAAAAATTGCAGAAATTAACGCCGGATTGGCATAAAACGAATTTCTGACAATGTTAATTTGTCTTACGGTACCACCCATTCATGAAGATTTAGAGTACCGGAAGATCGCGGCAAGATGGATTCCAAAAGTGATGACCGATGAACAAAAAGCGAATCGAGTGACAATTTGTCAGCAGGGGAAAAGGCAATTGCAACGTAACCCACAGTTTTTAAATAATATGGTTACATGTGACGAAAGTTGGTTTTATCATTACGATCCTGAATTGAAGTCTCAAAGTATGCAATGGAAGCATAAAGGCAGCCCAAGACCGCAGAAGGCCAAAACTGCTAAAAGCGCTGGTAAAGTGATGCACCTGATTTTTTTTGATAAATTTGGCGTTATTTACGATCACATTGTACCTAGAGGACATACAGTAACAGGGGAGTACTATTCTAATGTACTTCGAGGACCCTTAAAGGCAAAATTAAAGAAAAAAAGGCCGATTTATCAGGACTTTGGCTGGACGCTGCATCACGACAATGCTCCGGCTCATAGATCAAAGATTTGTCAACGAACAATTGAAGAATTAGGGGTTGAAATTATGGTTCATCCCCCCTACTCTCCTGACCTTGCTCCATGTGACTTCCATTTGTTTCCTGAAGTCAAAAAGGAATTGAGAGGTAGAAGATTTGAGTCGGATTTAGAGCTCAACAACGCTGTGATGGGTATACTAAACAGACTATCAAAAAATGGTTTCTCAGAAGTTTATGATAAGTGGATAAAGCGATGGAATAAGTGTATTCAACAGAATGGAGAGTACTTCGAAGGATAGTTGTTGAATTTTTTTAAATAAATGTTTCGTTGTTATACTATAGCACCAGTCTCGTTATTTTCTGATACATCCTCGTATGACTATTTAATTAAAAGTAGATACTTACTATAATATATTTTTAAAAATTTTGGATTTTATTCTTCTCTTAGCATTGTCCATTACATTTAATACAAAGATCGTCCCGACAAAAAAACAATTATTTAAAATTGTATTAATCAGTAGCATGTATACAGGGTGATCCATTAGTGTAAAAAAGTCCAGTATCTCCGCCATTATTTGAGATATAAAAAAATATTTTCACAGAACGGTAGACAGCGTTAAACTACATATTCTAAAATTATTTTTGAATATACAAGGTGTTTAATACCTTCTCTCAGGGACCAACCCTGTATTTTATTTTATATTTGAATTACTCTCGCTTTTCCCATTCTAAAAATATAAATTATTATTGGTTTATACAGGGTATTTTGCAGGATATAATCAGTTTTGTATGAAAATCGTATTGAATTCAATGACCTATATCATGCAAAAGAAACAATTGACAACCAATTTTTTTCTACCACAATTTTTCGATCATGGTCAAATTTTATCCGGAGACCCTACTTTTTTCAATTCGCATCAAATCTGTACAGGGTGAGTCAAAACACAAATACATAATTTTCTCAATTTTATATCATCGTTCAAAAGTATCCTAATTATACTTTAATTTGACTTAAGCATTCCCTATACCAAAAGTTAATAGTTTTTAGAGATTTTTAAATTTTAGTGGTAAAAACGATAATAATTGATTGGAAATACATAATAATAATTTATATTTTTGGAATGCGAAAAGCGAGGGTATTTCAAATATAAAATAAAATACAGTGTGATCCATTAAAAAGAACATAAGTTGGTTCCAGAGGGAAGTTATTAAACACCTTGTATATTCAAAAATAATTTTAAAATATGTAGTTTAACGCTGTCTACCGTTCTCTGTAAATATTTTTTTTATATCTTTAATAATGGCGGAGATATTGGACTTTTTCACACTAATGGATCACCCTGTATACTCTCAAATTAAAATTTTATTAAGATTATTGTTATTCTAGAAAGTCCAATACATCTTAGCCATTTTTTTAGAAAAACTCCACTTTAAAAGTCAATATTTTTTTTTCATATTTTTTGTTAGTTTATTGTTGTTTGGTAATTAAACCCGATGAATCAAAATTTATATACAGGGTGTTTTATTATTATGGAAAATTTTGAAAAAAAATATAAAGATTTGACCCAAATTTAAACAAAATATTGTTTCTTACTTAGTAGTAAGTTCAGATAGTTTGAGATACACGAAATTAAAATATTCTCGTACATTATGTAGCAAAAGACAGCTATTCCCTTTTGTAATAGCGAGAAGAGTTATTTGTGTACCAAGTCCGTAAAGTTGATCTTTTTTGGCAACTTCTGGTGAGGCCAAAAAACATCATACGGCCGAGGTGCGCACATTTTTTCTAAAGTAGGGCTCAATAATTTTTTTACATTCTTGTTTTTGAAAAAGAGGCTTAAATGCAAGAATTGTTTTAAATTCTTCGCCTAATAACTCTTTTTTACTATAATTTGATGCGTCCCAAACTAAATATCACTGCCTGACACAGTATCAAAATAATGATCAAAATTCATTTTTAAATATTTATTTAACTCATGAGCAATATTTTGTCTAAGTGATTTAAGTAAAATCTTCATATTTCGAGCTGAAAATTTTCTATTTAGAATATTTACACATATTATAACACCCTATATACTCGTATATTTATGTCAATTTTCGATAAAATACTATTTGATCAATGTGCATTTTCCAAACAGGTACCTATAAATCCGTTCAGTTAATTTTAATGGAGATAAAGCGGTTTAAAAAATGACACGACTATCCTTTTATCAACCAAAATCGATTATATTATATAGCGCAAGTCAAAAGTAAAGGTGATATTTGCAAAAATTCCAAGAATTATTCCATTTTGTTTTAAAACTCAGCTCTTTTTTTACATAATATTCGGATATACAGGGTGATGCGTATAAATGTAGTGACATCATCGGCATTTACATTTACAAAAAAATTAAAATAAACCTTATGCTTCTGGTAAAATTGTTGCACTTTAACATTGAACGAATTAAAGGGCCCCGCGCCGGAGAGGCTAGCCGCGAGCTAAGTGTGCATCCACTTACTCGTAACAGTTAAGCAGTGATCTCTCCGGTCACGTCGTGGATGGGTGACCGCTGGGAGGTTCCACCATGGGCCGTGTCACCATGGGATTCATCCGACTAGCGTTTAACCATCGACGACGTGGTAGGAATGAGAACGAATGAAAGTGTGAATGGGAAAGTAGTAGGACCTTCAAATGGTGGTACAATAAGCCGCAGGCTGCAGTGCTGCCAGACTACAGACGGATTAGGGTGAAGCACGGGAGGTCTAAAGGGTGTAAAACTAAAACTAGGTCAACCTAGTAATCAAAAGTGTCCATGGGCCCAACTCAAAATCCTATGATTAGTTTTCGATATTAAAGTTGAAAATTACCCAGTTTTTCGGAATTTTTATTTTCAAACTTACGGGCTAGATTGAATTTCTGTTGCATACACACGTTCACTACATGTTTTAGTAATAAATTAGTACATACGTACAATTAAATCTTTTTTGAATTACAGGGTGATTTACAAATGTATGACGGTAATTTTTTGCAAAATATTTGACGATAAGGAAACATATTTTCAAAAAGTACTACTCAAAATGGTATTTTAGCGACAAAATATGGCTTAGTACTGGGTGTTTTATAGAGAGAACCACAACATAAAATTATTTTTTTAAAGGATTAATTCAAAACCCTGTACCTACTGGATTTTTAGGAATAATAATACCACTAAAATATGTGTACCTCTAAGCTTCAAAATATACAAGGTGCTTTATATATTGAAAGGTATTCTATTTTAAGAAAAGTACAAACATTACAAACACCCTGTATTCTAAAATTTCCTTTTTCAAATTTAACCATTTTCTCAGTATATAATAACTTTAACACCCTTTTACAAAGTGTGAATTTTAAATCTGATACTATGACCCGTTTTCGGGATACAGGGTGTTAAAGTGGAGAATTGCTGATTTTAGTTATTTTTGCCAGTCTCAGATGATGACGAAGACTATGTAGAAGAACAAGAATGTTCCGACCCAGAGCAAAGCGGGGAATCAAAGACTGAAGAACCAGGTCCGTTTATTGCAAAAAAAGTGAAAACCACATTGACTAAAGGAAAGAACAGATATAGATGGAGCAACGAAATTCCAGAAAAGCGAGGGCGACGAGGGAATTTACCTGGTCCAAAAGAAGCTGCAAAAACTGTAAAAAGTCCGCTTGAAGCATAGTCTCTACTAATTTCTAAAGATATAATAAACACAATTGTTGCTTGCACTAAAGAACAAATTAAAAAACGGTGGGAGTCGATTGACGTTCGGCAGTATTACCACAGTACAACAGATAGCGCAGAAGTAAAAGCTTTGTTTAGGCTTTTGTATCTTTGTAACGTCCAGCGTTCAGCATATTTGAGTTTGCACGCGCTGTGGTCACCTAAGTTTGGAACTTCGTTTTTTAGAGCTACTATGCCGTTAAACAGGTTTGATTTTCACAAATTTGCACCTATCAGAGAAATTTGGAAATCATTTGTATCCAATTGTACAGCGTATTATACACCATATTGTACAATTGATGAGCTACAGAGGCAGGTGTCCGTTTAAAATATATTTGGCTTTCAAACCTGACAAGTATGATATAAAGTTTGTAATGATGAATGACGCGCCAATCTGGTATATGATTACCACTATTTCTTACGTTGCCAAAGTTACTACGGAAAATAATATGCCTGTTCCGTTTTACTGCATCAAAAAATTATCACAGCCTATTCACGATACTGGCAGGAACATTACTGTCGATAATTGGTTTTTGTCAGTGGATTTGTTTGAAAATATGTTAACCTAACATGGACTATGATAGATTCTCTTCGAAAAAATAAACGGGAAATTCCTCCTAGTTTCCTAGCTGGAAAAAGAGAAGGTGAATCAAAATTTGTTTTTGATCACAGTAAGACATTGCTATCTTTTACTCCTAAGCAGAAAAAAGTGGTATTATTCTTATCTACTATGCATTATACAAATGATGTAGATGAGACCACAAAGAAACCTATAATAGTCTTAGATTACAATAGTACCAAAGGCGGTACGGACACATTTGACAAACTCTGCCGCACTTTCACCACTGCACGATGCACCAGACGGTGGCATATGAGGGTATTTTGTGGCATGCTTGATCACGCTGGAATAAATTCAATGGTTTTATACAACTTTTCCGACACCAACAATCCAAAACTTGTCAGAAGAGCGTTTCTAAACACATTGGCATTTAAACTAATAGAGCCATTTATAAAATGCAGGCTGGAAATTACAACGTTAAAAAGTAGTGATGCCGCGAGACAAGACAAGACGAGAAAGTGGCCTCTCTCGTCTCGTCTCGTAGGGCGAGAGAAAACTGTTCTCTCGTCTCGACGAGAAGGTGCTTTTCTATCGTCTTGTCTTGTCTTATTTCTCTCGTAATAAAACAATATCAAATTTAAATTTGAAAAAGACGAAACATGAAAAAACGTTAAAATTTGTAAGATTAAAACAAAGAATTTTTCAAGTAATTTGCGCATTAGTACCCAAATTTGACAATAATAAAAACGTATGTCTCTCTGTCTGTCTGTCCGTCTGTCACAGTCGTTTTACAATTGAAATTTGAAGTCACCCTGATTGGGCATTAACTAAAAACGAAAATACTTTATCTTACAAGTCAATTGGGGATGGGGGGAAGAGGTTAAATCGGAAGCATTTTGTAGTATGTTTTCAAAATGCAAGAAGATAGAGACAAAACAAAAACGATGTGAAATTAGAGAAACATTATAATATTTTTGGTATAGAGAGAGAGAGAGATAGAGAGATATGCCTTATTGTCGTAAAAAAATTTACAAAAATTTTATAGACAAAGCGTGTAACTTAAATACTAAACATATTATAAAAATAACTAAACAGCAGAAAAAACAAACAGAAACAAACAGACAAAATAGGAATAACAATTGCAATGGATATGCAATATCCGTCATTATAATTATTCTAATTTAATTTTTAAATTTAAATTAAAATTTAAATTTAAACTTTAATATTTAATTATTTAATTAATGCCATTGTATGTGGAACTCAAATGTCTAATGATATGCACTTTACTTGAGACGTAAATAGAGGGAGTTACTATATTTAAATTTTTTAATGGAAAGTAAAGTCATGTAATACCTCATTTGAAAGATATTTTGATTATATTTACATCCAAGCAAACAGTTTTATTTTTTTGTTTTGTTTAGAAATGTTACATAATGTTAGAAGAGAATTTTTTAATAAGCTTTTTTGCCAAGAAATTTGGAAAAATGTAATACGTCAAGTGGTTTTTAAATCACCTTTAATATTTTTAATTTATTTATTTTAGTAAATACAAAAAGCATTTCCTTAGTAATAAACAATAATTGTTAATACGAGAGTTATCAAGAATGTAACTTATTAGTAAAGGCAGAACATGTCTGTATAAGAACAAAGTACCAGCTACAAAAAAATGCCATTTGTGCAGTGTTAAATCCTTCTAAAAGTAAAAAATTACTTAAATTTATAAAAGATACTGACATTTTCTCTGGACAAGCCAAAATGTTAATTATCTATTATATACTATTGTAAAAAACAGCATTTATAAGGTATTATACTTCCTGTAATGATCCTTTGAGGTTGAAGCGGTAAATAAAAAAAAAGAACTTAACCTACTTTATGAATTTATTTATTGTAATTTTTATAAAAACATAAAAACCTAAATCTGTTTACATGAACGTAAAAATATGGAAAATATCTTACAAATGAGGTATCACTTGGCCCTATTTTCCATTAGAAAATTAAAAGCTAGTAACTCCCTCTATCTTACATGTCTCAAGTAAAGTGCATCTCATTATAACAAAAATTTAAATCTCTTGAGTTTTACCTCGTTTTTGTTTTGTCATTATCCTTTTTCATTTAGAAGTTAAAATAGAGAAGGTTACAATTTTCGTCTTCACTGTATATAATACATTCGTTTGTATTACCTTTTCTTTGACAGTTTTTCGAAAAAACGCTTAAAAACTTTCAACTTATCTTCAAAAGTAACCTCAGAAAAGCAAAATGGATTAAATATAAGAAATGATTGTATAAATTTAAAATAAAAAAAAAAAATGAGAAATATGTTTTCTTATAAATCACTATTTATTAAAACCTAATAACACAAATATCATTTGTTACCATATACGGAACAGGTGTGTTATAGTTAATTTTTTGACTATCTCCAAATTTCAAATAAGCAAAGAGAAAATTGTTCGAGAGATCCCGAGAGAGCTCGAGAGAAACGAGAAATTGTCGTCAAGAGATGACACTCTTTCGTCTCGTCTTGAATCTGTTTTCGAGACAAGAGACGAGAATCCCTCGTCTCGCGGCATCACTATTAAAAAGAGAAATAAAGTGCCTCATAAGTGAAATTGTTGACGTTGATATACAGGAGAAACAAGATGCCCATATTTTGGACAAAGAACGTGCGATGCGGATTTTGTGACAGATCTAAAGACAAGAAAACAAAACTCGCTTGCTCAAGTTGCCACGTTCCAATCTGCGATGAGCACAGATCGAAAAAATGTTTAAGGTGTGCTGAATAATCGACAACAATCGCCTTTTTCTTTGTATTTTGCATTTTGCATTTTGAAATAAACTTATAGGTTAGAATTATTTTCTAAGTTTAGGTTTTATGTTGATGTTTTTTTTTTTGGAAATATATGTTTATTTTGCTATAAATATGTTGTTTTAATTACAAAAACTATATAATCAGAAAATGTAATGCATTAAAACCAATTATAGCGGGGTCTATTAGACCATAGTGTGTGTTCTATGGAACTATTTATGATGTGTGTGTAGCGAAGGTTAAAATACATACGATACGGCTATGAATAAATAAAGTCTGACTTATCTGTCAAAAGAAGGGGTTTATTTACAGTAAAAACCATTGGAAACATGATTATAGCTAAACGAAAACTTTTATTAGGCCGAATAGATGTATTAAAATTTTCATTTTTACTGCAAATAAGCATTGAAGGATGAGGTATAAATCAAAGTCAGCCTCTTGTACTACGTTCTGCAATTTAAATTACTACACGCCTTTCTTCTCTAGACTATAGTTAAGATCTACAAGTTGTTCACAGTACTTTTTATTTTGAAACGCCCTGTATATACCTAATAATACCAATAACTTTAAAACAGTAAGATACACACGGAATTCAATGAGCCTAAAGGCTCTCTATGAATATAATATTCAATGGCCCAGAAACAAACCTACTTACTACCTTCTTTCATAACAGATTTTGATGCAAAATTTTTACTAATGTATTTTTTTTATAGATTTTCAGACGCCAGTTCGACTGCAACCAGAAAAACATCAACGTCACCACACGTCAGACAGAAACGCAGATATTGTTAGAGCTTTTTTGTGGCCTGCCTTAATGTTGGAATCCAACTATGTTTACAAGGCGATTGTTGTGACAGATGGTACTTGATTACATGATTAATTTATTTTTGGTTTTAATATTTGTACTGTAATGTGTCATTGTTATTTTTTCGTTTTTTTTTAATGTATATATTTTATAATAGGGTCATTGGTGATTGATAAGGAAGAATAAGGAAGTTGTTGGATATGTAGTGTCCAATAGGATTGTAAATTTTATTGTATTACTGTAGTACTTCAGTGTACGTAAATTAATTTAATACATTTTTAAACGAATATAAATATTAAATTAAATAATTAATAAACGAGGAATGAATGGTAGAACAGTTTTTTGCAGGGTGAATTTTTTATTGTTAGTAAAGAGATTTACAGAATTAAACAAAATTTAACTTTTGAAGATTTCTTTTAATACCTATAACTTCGTTGTGATTGCCACCACAAAAAATATGCAAATACAAAAGTTTTAGACAATTAGGTTGTGCATAAAATACTCGAATTATTTTTTTATATAGCTTTGATTTTTTGATAGAAAATAATGAAATAACTGGATCGAAGCATAATCTAAACTCTAAGCAGATTCTAACTAGTGTAATATTTTCATTAAAAACAGTTTATTAAAGTTATCCATGTCAAAAATGTGATGATTGGTAAGGATAAGGAATGTCTTCACAATATATAATAGACATTTATCTTAAAAGTAAAAAATGATAAATGATAGGAATAAGCTGAAAGTTCTTGTCTAAAACTTTTCTATCCACACTTTTTATGGCAGATTTATAATAACTCTGCTAGAGAGATTAAAAAAAATCATGTAAACTGCAGTTTTCTTTGAACATTTAGAAAACCATGAGCTTTGATGTATCTTTCTAATTTAATGAACAGTAATTTCCATAGTTTATTTATTACAGACCATGTAGATTTGGTTATGGATTCGCGATATTTCAACATTAATGTTGACGCCAAAATACATGGGCAATTATTTTATGTAATAAATCAGTTTATATATTAAAATTTATAATTTATTAATGGCATAATTATTTCAGATAATGCATTTTGAACATTCTGTAATTTAAAATCGTTCAATAAAAAAATGTTTTAAATTATTTATTGTAACTTAAAAATAATATATTCTTTTTTTTATTTTAAGGTAATTATTTCTATAAAATGACTTAAATTTTAAGTCTATCTGTTAAAGGGTTTCGTATTAATAATATATAATTCTTGGAAACTATACCATGTCGTCACAATTTTTATGAAAAATACATTGAGCTGGTTTTATATTTAAATGTAATATATCTAATCTAAAGTATGAGTTAGTAATTTAAATAATCTTTACAAAAATAATTTCCATCTAAGCTTTGATCATTGTAATGTGAAAAAAAAACATCAAAATAAAGATTCACCTAAACAAGATCAAAGATACACAAGAAACGTACCGTTACTAAAGATAATGGTAGTTCGAAATATACATTTAGAATTTATATCTAAAAAAAATGTTTTACTACCCCAAAATAATCAAGGATTAATATACTAAGATCTTGATAATAGTCAGCTATTTTTGTTGAGTCTAAATCTCGAAAATATTTTAATATCAATTATGTCGAATCAAATTTATCAACAAAAATAGCAGAATATTAATCAAGGTCGTTTAATATTTGGGAAGACTATTTTTAAATAGACCAAATATTGACTATTTCTCTAGAGTAATAGTCGCTGATATTTGGTCTAGTGAAATAGTCGTTTATAAACCAGGAAATTTAAAAATGTCTGTGTTGCAGATTTTTTCATGAAAAATAATATATTAGCTGAAAATAATTTTATGTAATATTTTTGATACGCACTTTTATTTGTAAATAAAAATGATTTTTTATTTTCCTTACCTAATAATTCTAGAATATATTTTACCCGTCCAAAGCGTAAAGCTAAGTATTCAATCAATTTTAGTGTAGACGACGCGCTGATTCGAGTCCCACAGCAATAAATAAATTTGTTCTTTTAATAGACCGAAAATTAAGGCAATAATATCACCATACTCTCATCAAACTCAAAGAAGAAGTGCCTTAATAACGCACCATACAAGAGTAAACAACTACTACCAGGCTATATGCCTGCTGTACACTGAATTATAAGCGTTATATACGACCGGTTTCGCCCTAATTGGGGCAGGCGCAAACAGAAAGCTCATGAGGAATTTCTAACCCATATTGAAAGGACAAAATCATTCATTTTATACAGTATAGAGTACCGTAAACTGGGGAAGTGTAGATATTAACCAATTATTAAGAAAAGCTAAATATTATATTCCTGTAAATATCCCAGTTTTTATTCTACAGGATGATAAAGTAAATCTCATTAATAAATAATTTTCTAAATAGTATTATTCTGCACCCTGCAGTAGCCTGCTGCTGTTATAGGAACGTACAAATAAAAGAAGTACAATGTCACCCATCACCCTACAGGGTACTGCGGTCGTCATAAGTAAAAGTACGAATAAAAGAAAAAGTGAGAACAGTCTAGAAATGTCATCGGGGTATACAAGATATGTTTTCCAGGTTAATCCTTTCGAAACCATTTCCATTAGCCGTTTAAAGGTAGCTGAGACCAAACAGGAAAACTTTGAATCTGTATAATCCGCTACCAATTAAAAAAGCTGTTTTATCTCGATCGTCAGGGTTTACTTCCACTTGCCAGTGTCCGCTCTTTATAGAGCGGAAAACCATTTCGCACCTGAGAGTATTTATTGTGTCGTCTATTCAGAGAAGTGAGTAGCTGTCTTTTTGCGTTATCTGATTTATTCTGCTATAGTCTACGCAGCAACGAGTAGATCCGTCTTTCTTATTTACTAGGACCACAGGTGAGCACCAGGGACCAGAAGCTTCTTCAACATGTCCTGTATCATATTTGCTACTTCTTTTTGTTTAGCAAATGAGAGTCTTCTAGGTGCCTGCCTTATTGGCCTTACATTACATGTACATATTTTTTGCTGGACAAGACTGGTACGCCTGTTTCGAAAATGTCACAGTTGGTATTAACACAGAAGAAATAACAATACAGAAAAGAAAGTAATGGTCGGAACTTTGAAGTTGAAGGGATAGAAATATTTGACCTTGAGTTCCACCACAGAGATACTCTGAGAACACAACTATTCACAGTACACGCGAACGTAGCTATTCACTGAACCTACACTGCGATAACTACATTTCTCTTTTACAGAATTATGTGTCATATTTTATGAAAATTTACATGAATGAATTTTAAACTATTCTTGATTTAAGTAAAATATTTTTCAATTTGTAGCACTTCTGACAGAGGTTTCAAAAATGAAAATTATAAATTTTTAAACAATAGTTTATTTTACCCTGTCATAATGAACTATTAATATTGTGCCACAAATCTTACTAGTCAGTTATGATCCATAAGTATAAATAAATTGGGATAATTGTTAAGAAATCATTAGGTAAAGCGTATTTTAGGGATTTTATAAATAAAAACAGAAGAAAAATAAAAAACGTATATTTATGTAATTGATAAGTTTACAATCTATGCATGTATTTTATTAAAATAGAATTTTTGAATGGAATTATTTTAAGATTCTTTTTTATTACATATGCAATAAGGATACTTATTATTAATAATTTATAATGCCAATAAAACTAAAAATGAAATTAAAAAACAATAGTGAAACAAATATATACCTGATAATAGTACATACATATATTATAAAAAACGGTAAAAAAAAGTTGAGAAACTATGTACTCAAATTACGTACATGTTTAATTAAACTTATATTGTCTAAAAAAAGGATCACACACCTATGACATATTTTGTTAAAGCTATTACATAGTATTCATAATCGTTTTAAGTGTATGAAAATTAAAATAATAAAAATTGTTTACACACATTTATAGAGCAAGCCTAATTTATAATACATAGGTAGCTTAATTAAAATAGCTACATCCTAATATACAACTATGTAATAAGCTCTGCGAAATTACAATATCTGCAAAGGATTTTTTTAAATATTGCTTGCACATATTCCGAGGCTGGATTTTTCTTCATTTTTGCAACAAACAAACGTTTCCTTAACGTTGCTATCTTCAGTCGCAGTCTCTGCTTTCTTGGAGTGTTTGATGATAATAAACTACTCGTTTGGATTTGTGCTGTTGCACAAGGTAGAGGAACAGATGGTTGACTATGAATTTGTTCAATAGATTCTACTTCTGCTGAATTTGAGGGTAAGCATAAGTTGTCTATGCCTTTTTCGCCATGAATAACAAATTTCTCTAAAAAAGAAAAAAAGAAAGAAAGAAATAACAAATTTTTATCAGATCAACTAGTTTTAAGAAGGTGCATCATTTGTCAGAATTAAATGTTTAAGTCACACTTTTTAGCCAGATGAAATTTAAAATAATTTCATAAAATGTGAATATATTTCTGTGCCTAGGAGGTAAACTGCACTATGTCAACTGTCTAGTCTAGTCAACTGATTGAATGTTGTTAAATTATTAAATTTTAACTAGATATGCCATTTATTGTAACAATATTTGTATTTTTTACTAACCTAACTGATAAAACTATTTTATTTTAATTTGCATAAGTTGTTGTATGTCGACATAGTACATTTTACCTCCGAGGCAGTTCTATAAAATGGAATGTATGGGTTGGGTTTATATTTATATTTTTTATATCTTGAATGTTTATAAAATAATAATGATATTCTAAGATTATTAGTACTTATCATTTTATTTTTTAAACTACTAAATGTAATGTAAAAAAAATAACAAGTGAAACAAGTAGCAAACTTTTTTTAACATTTAACTATAAATTTTATTTATTTACCTTGCAGAACTGTGACTCTTTTCATAGGTTCTGAGTGAGGAAATACGGATGGGAATGCATTTGCAACTAATCGTTTTCTTGCTCCCGACTGATAAAAAGAATTTATCCTGGAAATGCAGTTCACAAATTTTGTAATGTTTACTTAAGTATTCAACACTCTTTCCCAATAAGTCCTTTCTATTTGCTGCCTGAAGCCACAATGCAAGTCTGAAAAATACATACAATCATTGTACTACAATATTATGGAAAGGTCAATTCCTATTTCACACTCAATGTTTCATACATACCTCACTAGATCTTTCACAAGAGTGAACAATCCTTCTTTGTCACCTGTTCTTGAGGTAAATACACGATAAATACAAATATACCCTACTCCTCTTTGACGCGGCATTGTTTATAACTCTAATCTTAATACGTACAATAAAGTCTTAAATGAACACTCCACAATTAAAAACAGCAACAAAAACTAAAGATAAACCACTAACAAAACGTAAAAGT